TGAATAGGAAAAAATGAAAGCTTATAAAATATCAAATGTATTGAAATATTGTTTACAAGATATTTTTCACTTTTGTACGGTCACCTCTAAATATATATTGCAACTGTTTGATATTTTGCAACCAGTCTTGATTGCAAAAATGCAAATTTTCCCCTCGACTGGAGCTTGTTTATGTGCCGGAATTTGCACTCTAATTTTGCAAACAATGCCAGCCCGAGTATGTTTCATAATTTTTAGTTTTACGTTTAAAGGGACTGTAAATGTAATTTTACCTGACCCTCCTGGAAGACCTGAATGATAGCAATGCCCGATCCCTTTATTTGCTTAATCGAACATTAGTTTTTTAGGAAATGTTTTATTATGAACGCATACAACTTGTTATTAAACCTATGTATAACTACTTGTTCCTGGATTGTATTTATGTATTAACATGTCCACAAATTCAGTCAGCTAATTTTTAAAAATTGGCGCACTTTTTTAACTTTATCCTGTGAGTAATTTCAGAACATATATATATATATACTTTCGATATGTTTTTTTTTGCGTAATTTACAATGAAATTTGTATGATTCCTTGTGAATTTCGTCAATACAAAATGGCTGCTTTGCCTTGTGAACAGACGTCAAGGTTTGGTATGGTGTATATAGGGTTGTTAATCGTTTTTGTAAACGATCGTTTTGTACCGTTTCTAAAAACAATCGCTTCGTTTTCAGGAAAAAACTATCGTTTTTAAAAACGACCCACTCGTTTTGAACTTTTAGAAAACGATTAGCGATCGTTTTTGAAAACTATTTTTTTATTAAAACGATTTGCGACCGTTTTTATACGATTGTTTTTAAAAAACGATCGTTTTTGAAAAAAAAAAGTTATGGACAATTATGTTAACGATCGTTAACGAAGGGTCGTCGTTAACGATCGTTAATGAAACGACGAACTTTATCAAAACGGTCGTTTTTGGAGAAAAAAAATTACATGCAACTTTATTGAATGTCATCTTCCATGAAGTTTAACAGTTGTGGGGAGTTAAAACTCCTTGATATTTTCTTGAAAACTACTCAATGATAAGTACAGATGTCCTTTAGGGATCGGTTCCTCTCTTCGTTAACGATCGTTAACAAAGGGGTCGCCGTTAACGATCGTTAATGAAGGGTTAACGATCGTTAATGAAGGGTTGTCCTTAACGATCGTTGACGAAGGGTCGTCGTTAACGATCGTTAACAAAGGTTCGTTGTTAACCATCGTTAACGAGGGGTCGTCGTTAACGATCGTTAACAAAGGTTTGTCATTAACGATCGTTAACGAAGGGTAGAAACGACGAATTTTATAAAAACGATCGTTTTAAAAAACGATCGTTTCAAAAAACGATCATTTTAAAAAACGATCGTTACGTTTTCGATTTTTCGTCGTCGTTTTCATAACGAAACGATCGTTTTTCTGAAAAATGAAAACGTTAACATCCCTAGGTGTATAAGAATGTATCAGCTGTGTGAGGGGAGTTGCAATTATTATCTCTCGCGGCACAGCTTGTGTATACTTAATATTAAACATGACAAGAACGAATATTTCAAGTTTAGTGTTCATAGTCGACAAACAAAGGTTTATTAGTTTTAGAAGTGTGATGGAAGAGAAATTGCTTTAACTTAGCTGTGCTGTAAATATTCTTGGTATTCCGTGTGGAAAATATATAGTACATTACTGTAAAACAGATAATATTGGTGGTTTCAATACTAAAGTTTAGGGGTTTGTTGCATCCCAAAAATATTATAATTTTTAGTTCCTCATGTAATAGGACTCCATTCGATATTATGAGGTTAAGATCATTAAGAATATCATCTATCTTAGGGCAGTCCCAGAATAAATATATGTGAGATATTTTCCCTGGGTGCAGGCTTCAGATTTCCCCGCTCGCACCATTGACATGTAGAGTCATAATCCTGTACAAAATGTGAAATTATTGCATTATGGTATAGGGTCTGTGATGTGAAATTAAAAATAAAGCTCCGCAGGTTATTTTTTAATTTTGAGAATTTGAAAATTATATAAAAGTTGCGATCTCTATCCAGTTCCGCAACATTGTAATTTGCAAGTGCAATGCTCTTTCGAAGACCATTCCCCGGCTCGATCTCAAAATTTATACTATCAATGATCTTTCTTATCCTCACGCTGCCTTTAACAAATTTCCTGAAGAAGGAAAGAATTGGTGTGTAAACCTTGTCTTTGTCTCAGGCTCTAAATGTCCTTTCATCCATCTTCTTAACAGGCACAAATGGTGAAGCCCATGGACTATTAGCAGGTTCAATGACACCTTGCTCTATCCACTCATCTATTTGATCCTTTAAGTTTCTCTTCTGATCTGGGTTCAACGGTCTCACTTTAGATCTCTTTAGAACTGTTCCTGGTTCTAGATCTATGTCCAAGCTATAAATTGTTCCTAACCTTTTTTTCATACTTATTTCTACTCCCTCATTGGAGTGGTTCTCCACAAAGATAAATGGTTCCTTGCCTGACAAATGATAGAAGTTTCCTGGGTTTTGCTCTTATGGTAGCATGGAATCTACAAAACCCTCTCCTCTCCAATCTCCTTCTACTCTGACTTTCACTAATTTTACGCTTCCCACAGGAATGAACACTTTCTCTCCAGACCAAAGTTTCATCTCCTTTACTTCAATTCCGGTACTACTTCTGGTTTCTGTACATGGTTAAAGCTCTGAGATTTGCTTGAGATTTCCTTATCTTCTTTTCAGCATGAAGGGATTACTTGCACATACTTTTTCTTCTCTTGATTGTATATTCTCTTATTCTTGTGCATAAATGGGAACAGGGATCCTTTGACACTGCGTAACCTGGTTAACCTTTCTTTATTTCCTTTCCCGGTTATTGATTTTGCTCCTTCCTTTGCACATGAAAAAATAACCTCTTATTGTTTTAGGAATTATAATCCCAAATTTATGGCATGATTCAACCCTTCTATCACTATGGGGCCTACTTCAAATAACTGGTCTAGTCCGTCGAGGTAGAATGTAAATGTTTCTCCTTTCCCTAACACTTTCAGTCCTTTTCCTCCTTTCTCCACTGAGCCCACTCTCGCATTGCTTGTTCCTGACATTTTTCCTTTCACTGTTTCCCAGAATTCTTTGGACGCTAAAGTACTTGTCACTAAATTCCCAGTATCTACCAATGCTAATCAATAAATCTAATTTTATATTTCTTGAATTTCGCATACAAGGTATTATTGTCGTCTTATTTTAACTTTTTCATGCTGATCAAATTCATCATTAACTCTTCTTCCCTTGACTTGTCAATAACACTAGGTCAGAAATTTGTGAGATTTTTACTGTTTATTAATTCATTGTTAATATCACTATTTACTAAATTAATTTTTTGTATCTCTTGAGTTGCCAACTGTCAGTTGTTGGAATTCTCTAGTGAAAATCCGAGACTGGAAACCGTTAGTTTACCTTAACTAGTTGAAGCACAATTCTAATTTATTTTTCTCCCATTCTCCCTTTTCCTTGGTTTCCTTCTTTCCTTGGTTTTCTGCACTCTCTTGCCATATGTCTGATTTCCTGAAATTATAACAGGAAAATTATCATTTCTCCTGTTGTTATTTCCGGTTTGCTGGCTTTTCCCGTTCTGTCTGTTATTCTTGTACTTCTTGATGGGGTTCTTCTCATTCCATTCTGAATATTTCTCTGGATTTCTCTTACTCCATTTCATAAATTTTTGACAATCTCTTTTCATATGACCTGTCCTCCTGCAGAAAAAAACAGCTATTCTCATGTAGCATGGCCTTGACATCTTCCTAGTCCGAAAACGGTAAAAAGGTGTAATGATATGCCTAGATGTAAACTATGGTGTGGAAATAGATTTCTAAAAAATCGGTCTATAACCAACAATTAAGCCTAATATTCAATAGTTTCATAGAACAGTTTAAAAGGGATAATTTACCTATTGTTTAATATATATATTTGTGAACCATATCCCTAATGTAACCCTGTTTCAAAAGTCGTCTCCGACAAATTGTATCTCCGTTGAATCCGTTGAGTACTCCGGCCACCCGCCAAACCAAACCTTGCCAAGGATTTTGCATAAATAACCTCATGGAGCTAGTAAAACTTAAAGTGCATTAAAAGAACCCATTTAAACATAATTTTCAGTGAATCATTTTATATTGCCCTTTTCTTGAAATAGGAAATATGACTGAAAGGGACTGGCATTTCAGATTTACAACGGTACTCTAACAACATTTAAAGGATTTTTTTTTGCATATAATTAAGTGTCTTTACAGAGAAAAATAACAATCGAAAATTATCAATTTTCAAAAAACTAAAATATTTTCAAACAATTTTTGTTCCTGAAATAGAAGCTAACTTTTACGTTTGAAAGGAATTGAGTCTTTGGAACAAAATCAAATATTTAAACCTCAATATCTTTAGAACCCGATGTTGTAAACCTTTGATATTTCAAACTTAGATTATTTGATCTAACAGAATTCATAGTTTGAAATATCTAAGGTCTACAACATTTGCTTCCAAAGTTACAGTGATTAGAAAATCAGAGTTTGTGGCAAAGACTCAATTCCTTTATGCTTTAGAGTGCTATACAATAAAATAAAAATCAGCAAAAACATACTCATTTCATCTGTTCGATCATATGACATTGATTTTTCCTAAAAATGATAGTAATGTTAGCAACAAACTCTGATTATATAATTCCATACATCTGTGCAGCCCTTGGCTTTTTTAAAATATGAATTCTGTTAAATAAAAGTTTGAAATATCAAAGGGTTACACGTACACCATCAGGTTTCAATGATAAAGAAATTTAAAAACGGACACAATTCCTTAGGCGGCGTAACAAGCTTAATTTTTGCCCTTGTCTAAAATTAATAGTAATATTTGCCACAAACTCTGATTTTCTAATTCCTACGTCTTTGCAGACCAATGTCGTAGACCTTAGATACTTCAAACTATGAATTCTAATAGATTAAATAATCTGAGTTTAAAATATCAAAGGTTTACATCATCAGGTTTCAATAGTAAAGGGATTGAAAATTTGAGTTTGTGGTAAAGAATCGGTTTCTTAGGTTATTGCCCTTGTCTAAATATGATATTATTGTTTACTATGTTACTACCAATGGACCTACAAATTTCTTTAAGAGAAATGTTGAGAAACCTTTTTCATCCTTCTCTTCTCAAATCAGACTTTCAACTTGATATAAAGATTTGTATAGCTCTGTATGTGTTCTCTGAACTTGATATAAAGATTTGTATAGCTCTGTATGTGTTCTCTGAAAATGAAAGTGTGATCAACCAAATCCGAGATCAAACATTAAGCGGGGGATTCACCGTCAATGATACAATTCTTCAACTCAGGTATAAAGGGTGAGAGTAGACATGGGCGCGTTCAGCTTTTTTCATTTCGTTCATGAACGACCCATTTCGTTTTTTAAGTGTTTAAAATAAATTGATTTCGACTGTTCTTGACATTATCATTTTTTTCCATCTATTTTGTTCGTTTTCTTACAAAACGATCGCTCTTTCAAAAAAATCGTTTTTAGAAGAATAAATCGGAAAAATCTATCTCAGATTGATCGAAAAAACCGTTTGTTAAGTAAAAATTATCGTTTTTTACAAAATCTGCCAAAAAGTTCGGTCATTCAGTAAAAATATCTAACAATTTTAAACCATTCGATTTAAAAAACGATCGTTTTTTTCATTTCTCTGAACGATCCAAGTCGTTCTTCCATCGTTCGTTTTTTTATCGACACCATCATTAAACAAAATTCGTTTGTTCAAAAAAACGATAATCCCATCTCCACTACACATTTGTTTTTACCATTATTTAATATAACTTTATGAAACATACATAAACGAAAAAGTTCAAGCTAAACCTTTAGACTGGTTTATTACGTACCCGTTTCAGAGCCCGCGATTTAAAAACTTTGGCTGGAGCCATAATTCCTTAAGTCCGACTTTAAGATCCGATCTTTGACCCAACTCTAACGACAGCTTGTGTCACGTGATTGATAGCTGCAATATCTTCGGCTCGACTTTAGGAGTTAGGGCTAAAAAAAATAAAACTGACCTTGGTTGGTTTTAGTGGAGAATAAGGCTCAATGTTAAGTCTTGTTCTCATCAACAATTATCAATCTTATCAATCTCAGCTTTCTCTTAAAGTGATTTTGCGGAAAATGAAGTAGAAACCGGGAAGGAAATTAACAAAATTAAACTTTTTTGAACTTGAAAACTTGTTGTGCGATGTCACTTTAAAAAACAGTGACTGTCCCTTTCAGATCAAATTTCTATATAATGAATTTTTAAGTGTTGAAGAACTCCCGTTTGGAGGTGTTGGATCAAGTGGAACTGGAGCTTACCATGGTAAACATGGGTTTTTGACACCTTTACACATTACAAGGTAGAAAAATGTAGTAAATGTATATTATATAAAAGTTTATGCGAAATTATTGCTTTGCTTATTATAAAACAAAAAACGACATTAATATACATTTGTTAACTTTTTATTGTGTATATTATATTGTATATTTGGTGGCCTGCCCCTTTCACTGCTTAAAATGTCAATCCGTACTGACTACATCTGAAATTTTTCATGAACGATTATTGGGTATTTTTCATACAAAAGAGATGCGTAACTTATTCACAAACTCAAGTTTATTTTAACAAAAGATCCTTTTATCCAACAAATGATTAACTAACATTTGAAAAACAAATTAACATAAACATTTTAGATTAGTTTTAGAACAAAACATTCACTATTTTAATATTGATTGTTGGACGCTCAAGCAACCAAAATAACCCATGACGTCAAATACAATAGTCAGATACATTTCTAATGTAGCCTCTTTCTAATAGATCGAGTGTCTTTGAGTAAAATAATTTTTTTCAAAATTTCTAATTCCAAATGAAAAAGTTTTAGATTGTTTTAGCACCATGATGCTGAATGCTTTAATCTATTAACATGTTGGTTTAAGCTTTCTGAAATAAAATCAAAAAGAGATACATGAAAAACACTTCATTTGCTAAAAATAAACTCAAAGATAATTTTAAAAACTGTCATGCCTAAGTAATGATAAGTATTGGCGAGACAAATAATTCTTTCATCTTGCAGGCTTATTAAAATATTTTTGTTGTTTTTCTACTAATATTATTTTTCATTCTAAACAACAAGATATCTCAAACTTTCTCATGATATTCGGGGAAATTTATTTAGCTATAGAAAAAATGTGCATCCCCGAACTAATATTTTTTCCGTGTCTTTATATACAAAGTAGTAATCTCTGTTTGTTTGTTAGATCATATCTCATGTACCCCTGGACCGATTTGCCCCAAATTTTGATTGGAGAACTTGGGAGAACCACGGGAATGTTCTTTGATTTGTTTAAAAATTATAAATTGAGTGGTTTGACTTTTACGGAAAAACTGCAGTCAAAGCTGGGTACCCAAGCTAGTTAAAAATATTAAATATATTGAAGATCCTGTATTTTAATTGTAGAAAATACATTAAACAGTGGAACATTCCTAACTATATTTCTAATGATCTTGAGAGAGCCGAGATTTCTGCATTTCTCCAATTATTGGATATTCAGTATAACCTTAAATAGTTTCCTCTCCAAGGAAGATTCATAACCCTGCTCCCTGTTCTACTTATTTCCACCTAATTTACCACCAAATATAGACATTAGGGAGAACTAAGGCCGAATTTAAAAAATCTAAGCCACGTAGCTGAGCCGCCAAAAACCAGTAAAAATTTAGCGTCGGCTCAAAATAGAAGATTTTTTAACAGCTTCTCTTTGTTTCCATCCAAGCTCTTTCAAAGCTTAATATAAATCCAAATTGAAATTGAAAGTCGTCTTCATTGTACTGATATATGTGGCACCGATTGTATGTTAATAAATCTAGTCCGCTGAATATGCTGTGCTGTCAATTAATAAATAAAGTTACCATGGTTGTTGTTTTAATTTCAAGTGCAGACACGCACAAGTATTGAGGGGTTTGGGCCTCAATAATTTGGAGGATAAATTTGTTCTCTAACTTGACAAGTGTTTGATTATAAAAATTTTGACCATTTTAACTTTAAATGGAATAACCACAGTCAATAGTATTTAAATTTCAAAGCATTAACCACGAATATTGGTTCAGAATCAGACATAGCTTTAACATGTAAATTGAACATGCGACAAGAGATATCCCAGCATTGTGTTTATTTACATAAGAACTTGTCCAGTTCTCCACATATCATTTAACTTCTTGTTTCTTTCTTCTTCATCAAAATTTAATGAACTTCTTAATCTTGTTGTATTGTGGGAACTTGCTCTGGGATCCATATTGATTGTTCTTAGTTTGCACAGCTGATCCGCCAATACTTCTTTAATCTCATTTTTATTTCTCAGTAGTTGAGGCATAAACAATAAACACGCTCTCTGCAGTTCTGGATGATACAACCCTCAAATTACTTGATTCTTGAACTCTGATAACATTCTTTTTGCTGGAGCATACACTGCAAACATTTAGTCTTCTGGCAGTGTATTCTTGTCTCCTGCCTTCCTCTTTTTTCTTTAGAAAATTTCTTCAATAACTCTGTAAAGAACTCTGGCAATGTGTACATATCAAACGCTATCCTTTCTACTGTCTGTTGCAACACTCCTCTTGGATATCCTGCATATCGTGGAGCCTTTTCTATGAAAGCCAAAACTCTTTTATTCAGTGCAGTTTTGAATCTTCCTATCTTCTCCCAGGTATCTTCATTTGCCATTCCGTCTCTTACTTTTATATCCAGGAACTCATTACTCCTCATATTTGCTTTTCTGTATTATATATGGATATTGTCCTTCTGGGGCTGGGGGAACTACCCCCTCTGCTCCTGCCATGTTCATCTCTATTTCTGAAACGTCTTTGCTAGGTGGTAGCCTAGAATATAATGTCTCCCCAGTATCCAGTGTTGCTATTACTGTCTCGTCTTCTAAGATATCTCCTTGCCTGGTCTCTGCTATTACTCTGTTAAACCAAGTACTCACTTGATCTTTTTTCTTGGGAGTCTAGGCATTTACATCTTATCCTTTTGGGTTCCTTGATTCACGCTGCTGCCATCAGTTGTGTGGCAAATACATTACTCCATAATATTTACTCGAGACATATCTATCCAGGTCTATTCTTTTTAGCAATCAAACAGGACTAAATCTCAGGTTCTAATTGTTCACAGGACACAATCAGGGGCTATCGCACAAGCCATGTTTGGTCTATACCAATTATTCAGACACAACTAGGGTTTCCACCGGAATTCTGGGTTACAGTTTACGTACGGAAATGATCCGGAAATTTTTTCCATTTCTATTGTGGAAAAGGTTCCGGAAAACCGGAATTCTGGAACGATTTTTTCCCGTAAAACGGAAATTTCCGGAACGTTGTTCCGGAATTACGGATCGTTACTGAATTCCGGATCGTTACTGAATTCCGGAACGTTCCGGAATTACGGAACGTTCCGGAATATCGTTCTGTAAATTTCCGGAATATCGTTCTGTAAATTTCCGGAAAATCGTTCCAGAAATTTCCGGTTTCCGGAATATTTGGTACCAGAATTACATTAAAGTCTTACATATGTAAATACAACACCAGTTAGTAACACTAACAATATATGGATGCATGCCGGACGGTAGAAAAAGTTATACTCAATAATCAATATTCAAAGTTACTATAGTGTGAAATGTAACTGATAAACCGAGGGGGGGGACTCTACCACTAGCAGGGCAGTAGCTAGTGGGGGGGGAGGGGCAATGATCCTCGATTTTTTTCTTCAAATTTTCAAACTTTGTAAATATGAATTTAATTAAAATAAGAAAAATTCTTTAAGTTCCAGTTTACGGAATGGAAATTTTCCAGTTTGCGATACGTAAACCGTAAAAATTTCCGGTTTACGGAATGGAAACCGGAAATTTTTCCGGTTTACAAAATGGAAACTGGAAATTTTACGGTTTCCATTCCGTAAAACGGAAATTTTTCCGGTTTACGTGACGTAAACGGGAAAATTTCCGGTTTCCATTTATACCGCAATTATCCCGGAATTCCGGTTTACGCAACAAATTTCCGGATCATTCCATTTCCAAAATGGAAATTTTTTTCCGGAAAAATGGAAACCCTAGACACAACCTTTGCTCGTCTGTTCCAATGAGAAACAAGCTATCTTTCAAGCTAAATTGATTTTAATGAACAGTACTTCTTGCACAATCTACACTCGTATAATTCAATTAGTACCGAGCTGTCTTTCAAGCTAAATTATGCCTCTAATAACTATATTCAAAAACAGAGTCTCAATCAACTGATCTTTATTTTGTATTTCATGTTAGAACTGGGTTTTTACAGCGTAATTACAAGTTATGGTCGGTTTGTAGTAGATACTAGATTCTAACAGTTTTTATTTTCAGCAGCAAGAAAAGCTGTTTAAGACCAGAGAAGAATTTAGGAGAAATCTATTCCACAAAGGATAAAATATAGACTAAGAGGGATTACTGAAATCCAGAGCTAGAGATATGTAACTACTGCAGCCTCCAGGAAGGAATAAAACAATTTATTTGAGAGACAGTGAGGCTGAAAAAATATATAAGTGTTAATCACAGAACCTCGTTAAAGCTTGAGAGAAAATTTAGTAATTCAGCCCCTGAATAATTAATAGCAATCGGAAGAAATGTTTGAGAGGATGAAAAATGAGGTTAATGCTAGAGAGAAAATTGGGTGAATCAGCTCTCTGAATAATTAATGAAAATATAAAGAGATACTTGAGAGAACAACTGAAAGATTGAAAATAAAGTAATCAAGCCAAATCATTTTCATGATAACTATATAAGTGTTCATTAGTACTTAAAACGAGCGATATTCTGGCAAACTCTTTAGTTTTTTTTGTCCTATTATAAACACGTAATCTTAGTACTAGTAGTTTCCGGTTTGATATTGGCTATTTGACTGTTATGAAATATTGTGTAAAATCTTTTAATCACAACTGAACCAAACTTAGTTCAGAAATACTTTAAGCTGGTCTGTAAATTTCTTCTAGAATTCAGCTTTTATTAAGTAAACCCTATATCAAATTTTATATTACAATCATTGTGAATTGTGTGCAATTTATTAATTCAGACTCACATATTGTAATCAATTTAGATCAGCCTTGAACATATTAAGATTTTAATTCTTAGTAATTAAGATCACCTCCTGTTAAAGCAATAGAAGTGGCATTATAAACATAATATAAATACAATTTCTATTAACTAAATCATTGTAACCTGCCCAAGTAATATTAGTTACAGATAATTAGTTGTAAAATAAAGATAATTATATCCTTATCTTGTATTCTCAGTGTAATAATTTTAATAATATTTATTGTGTATGCTTTATTTAGGATGTTTTAAAATAAATGTTGTTTTGTGAATCACTTGATTATTGTGAGAAGTCCATAGCTTTAAGATGAGAAATGTATAACTGATAACCACAAGGACTATTTTATCTAAATTATAATCCCAATTCATACTACCACTGAACAACTTTGATTTTGATCCTACGAATACGTTTAGTACTGGGATTGAAAATTGACTCTAGAAGACGACATTTAGTTTTGATCCTTTGTACTTGAAAAAGCAATCTCAACAGGTTAATAAATGTACATAATAGGCAATCTACAAATATGGAATGGTTTTAATCGCATTACAGGATTTGCGTATTTACTGTATGAATTAAGTACAACGTAAATATTACAAGAAGCCACCCACTTGTGCTGCTGACCAAGCACATTTTTGAATCTTAGGTTCACTTTTGAAGGTTAAAACGGCATTTTAGAGAAAAATGTTTCATAGACGACCCCCCCCCCTCCCATTTATGGATATTGTACCTACCATTTTTCGGCACATTTAAACAATATTTAGTTGACTAAAAAGCCAACATTTTTCAGAGACGCCCTGTATTTGATAAAGCTCTTTGCTTATATATATATATTTGTATGTAAGGTTTTACTTAGTTAAACAAGAAAATTGCAGTATACAAACAGAGTAAACTTGTCCGTCTTGACTGCTCATCTTGCGGAGACATCTTTGCAGTCTTTTACCCTTTTCATAAAATAAACTCTAGCAGACATAATAATATTATGGCTTTCGAAATTAGGTATTACAATGCTAATTCATAACAAAGACGATATCGAATTCGTCACTGAATTCCCATGTTTTTTGGGACACCCTGTATATTCCTTTTCTGCATGGACTGAGTATAGTATCTAAAATATTCTACATATCAAAAGGAACTATATTTATCCTATTCTGAGAAAAACCCAGATTCGTTCACGTCTGGACAAACTCCTTTTTAAATCAAAATTCTAAGGAGATTTAAAGTTTTGAACACAGAAGACGACATTTTAAACCATCAACACACGTATTTTTGTTTTCTACAAGTTAATTAAAATTTGTTCGTTAACGGACTCTCCCGTTAATTTTCGAAAACCTCCGTTCTGTAAACGGATATTTGCCCAGCCCTTGCTTAGAGTCCCTTAACCCCTAGATAAATTAGAATAGATTTCTCATGTCGTCTTCACCATACCGGAGGGTTACAGATGAAATTGAAAATGGTAATTTAGCTACAGGGTGTCCCACGAAACATGACATTTAATAAATCGTTACTTTTAGTTAAACAAATATTTTGTTTCATTATCTTTTACTTTGAAAGCAATTTTAATATAGCATGACTCCCATATAATATTTTTATTGTTGGTATCAAACAACTTAACCAATTATGGAAAAAGACATTCTAAACTATTCACCAACTGTCATGTTTCGTGGGACTCCCTGTATGGTACTAGCTACAGACATACAGTACATTGGATATAAAGGTTTGCGGCAAGTATATTTGTACTCTGTACAAATTTATGAGGGTTTGTTTACAAATATTGCAGATATACTAGTTGAAAGTTGAAGATCAAAGGATAAAAACGAAGATTAGTTGCTGCTTGCTACCGGTATGTGAGTGATAATGATGACAATCAGACTCCCCTTACACACAAAGAACACATTAAAGTTGGAAGGCCTTTCGAACTATTAAATCTCTTGGGATGATGGCGATACTTTGGCGAATCCTATATGTGTCAAGAATCAACATTGTTGTCGGATAGCAGCAAGATTCTCAATAATGAACAGATAGACAACGGGATAACCCACAAATCGAAATCGATAATGCAGAGAAACTCTTTATTTCCTAAAAAATGAAATGGATAATAACATATAAATTGTTACAAAGTTTTATAATTTTATCATGAAAAGATTCTTACGATCTAATAATTGATATGAAGGTTAAAACTGTCGGGGAGTCCTAAGAAGGTTTTTGTATATTAAAACTTCTGAAAAGAATGACAATTAATTGTTAACGAAAGTCACTATTTCTTTATATGAAACTATTTTGTTCACAATAATAAAAGTGTTAAGACTCCGTTACCGGAGAACAAAGAAAATGGGGCTAAAAATTATTTGGTTTGGTGTCTCCGAGAGGGGATTTCAAGTTAAAGACGACATTACATGGATGGGGGGGGTCTTGTAGTTAATGGTTGAAAAACATGTGGACAGTGAAAATCTTGGTATGATTACCATTTTATTAAATTAACTAAAGTTGGGTCCGTCCTAGACTCCTAGTATACGATTTTTGGACCCTCTCCCTCCCCCCCTGCGGCTAGGACAGTTTATCTTATATTCATAGGTTGGGAACTTTGTCTCAGTTGTAAAAAGAATAAGTATCAGTTTGCTCTAGCCAATCGATTTCTCTATTGCACTATAGACAAGTTCAAGAGAGATCCTGAAATAGAACAAAATTAATCTTTAAAACAAAACAAAAAACAAAAAAAAGGTTTAAAACGAATTGAAAATGGGTAATTTCCTAGAGAACGATTTTTGGACTCCCTTCCCCCCCGGCCCCTCCTAGCAATTTTGTATATTTGGGGGGGGGAAGGGGGTCCAAAATCGTTCTCTTGGAAATTACCCATTTTCAATTCGTTTTAAACCTATTTTTTTTTTTTTAAAGATTAATTTTGTTTTATTTCAGGATCTCTCTTCAACTTGTCTTGAGTGCAATAGAGAAATCGATTGGCTAGAGCAAACTGTTACTTATTCTTTTTACAACTGAGACAAAGTTCCCAACCTGTGAATATAAGATATACTTTTAATAATTATGTATTCCTATTTTTTTCAATTTTGTTGGCTCATCAATAAAGATTTTATAAACTATACTTTTATATACACATTTATCTTGTATACTATTGTGTGTGTGTGTGTTTGGACTTGATAAATTTTTACTTTTAGAATCTTTTTTGGATATTTTATTTTTCATGAAAAAAAGTCGACATTTATTACTTTTGAAAATGTACCAATTTAAACAAAAAAGAAACACAAATTTTAAACGATTTTTAATGGCGACTTTCAGGGCAACAGTCAACCATATAAAGGCTGGAGGGTCTGCATAGCCTGGGGGGGGAGCGTCCCACGCCCCTCCCCCTAGAAAAAGGCCATAGAGAATAGGTATAGGGTTAAAATGCATATTCATAGCCCAATTTTTTCAAGGCCTGCAGCTCATTGAAAAAAAATTAGACTGATAACTTTAAGAGTTTGGGCGCTAAGGAAGGTTGAAAAAAGGGCCAAAAATGTTTTTGTCTTTTTAAACAGACATCTTATTGTGACACATGTTCCTCCGTCCATTTTTTAAGGGCTTTTTAAAAATATATATTTTAGATCTGTTGCTTTAGTCACAAAAACGTTAAAGACCATTTTAGATTTTTTTACACAGACCGGACTTTTTACCGCCCTGTACCCTACCCTATGCATTGAAAAAAATTGACTATTCATTAAAAGTCACTAAATTTCACGATAATAGTGACAAAAAATGAGAGTGCTATAGGACAAAAAACTATATGGCCAGCCAAGCTTGTTTAAAAGCTAAAATAGTTAATAGGAGAAGCCTACTTTTATTAAACTTCTTTGAATAAATTTTCAACAAATCGTTAATGGCTCTAGCCGTTAATGGTACCATTATTACAAAATTAAAAATTTTGTTAACGGTTAAAAAATCGTTACAATATTAACGGCGTTAACGGCAAAAAAAATTTCATTGACGATCTATAAACACAGAAGACGACATTTAAAAACATTAAAACACGTAAAACTTTTGAACAAACAAATTTAAATTTAAATCAGAAAATAACGACATTTACCGTTTACAGCTTTTTAATTAATGTTTTTATCCGTGAATTTTTTCTTCAAAAACGGCTAATCCGTTTCTTTAACGATTTAAAAATTAACGTTTTTTGCCGTTCCTTATTGGACTCTTCCATTAATTTTCGAAAACCTCCGTTTCGTTAAAGGAACTTTGCCAGCCCTAGCCGGGGAGATAACTCAAAAAGTATTGGTCCGAGGCTGTTAAAATTTTTTGACTTTTCTAACTAACAAATGCAGGGCCATTATCCCTACTGAACCATAGATGGTTGTTTTAACGAGGGATTGTTTTGTAAATAGATGATTCATGATCAATATACTATAAACGGAATAAAAAATTGTTGACGATCAAAAAGTAAATAAAAAGAGGAGGGTATAGTTTAGAAAAAAGAGACGGAGTGTGGAAAATAGATCATTTAGGATTATTCTCAGAAAGGGATCAAGGTCAAATGCGAAGTACGAAGAAGAGAAAAAAAAGTGTGCTCGAGGTACAACGTGTACGTAGGAATGGACACTTTTGGTTTTTTCATAACTCCTTTTAACATTTTTGGAAGATTGTTTAAAACAAGGTTGTTCTCTTTAGAAAATTTTCCAAACGGTATTTTCAACAGTTGTCGGTTTGTAAAATTTCGAAAAGGTCTTATGAAAAGTTGTCGTCTTACAGAAAAAAAAATAGTTTTCAAACTCATTGATATTTTATCGTTTTCCGTCTTAGTTTTTAACACGAAAAACGATATTTTTTTTTGCGTTTTCCGTTTAAAAAAACTATATTTGTTTGTTTTTCGTTTTATACCATCAACATTTTTCCATTTCAAAACGGAAAACGCCTTTCTTGTTTAAATTTCTAATTTTGTTTTAAAGAAAATGCAATTCTTTAAATGTTCGCTTAAGGCTTTGAATCTCCTGCCTTTAATGTAGATCTGACCTGATCTCACGCCCTTAGAAACTTTAGATCAAACCTATTTAAGCAGGGGGGAGGTGTAGGATATCTGAGAAAAAGTATTTACTAGGACTTCAGTTAGAAGTTTTCCAGGTTCAGTCTCAGAATGTTCTCTGATTTGAAACTAGTTCTTGCCTCAAACTCAAATATTCTAATCCCTAAATCTTTGCACCTTGTGGTGTAAACCTTTGATATCTCCACACAAATACAAAACAGTTCAGAACCTTTTTACATTAAATGTTTACAGCAGCCTTTAGACTTGAGAATTGAGAAAGATAAAAAAAATTTCAAACTAACAATAGTAGAATACATTTTCTACAATAACTCTTTTTTTTTATTATTTCTGACTCCTGTGATACTGATATTTGCTAATCTATCTTTTCATTCTGCAGGGGGAGGGGGTGCCCCTCTCAGGTGCTAGGGGGGGGGCGCACCCGGTCGAACCCCCCTAATTGCGCCTAAGCTCTCTACGCTTTGTAAACTCAAAAATTGAATTATCTTCTGACAGATAAATTTTAAGTTTTTAGTCTTATCATAGTTCTGTCTTTTTAGAGTCTATAATCAAGATTTCCTGGCTTTTGAGGCTATTGGAGAAGAAGATGGGGAGATAGATTGGAGAAGGAAAGGGGGAGATAGATTGGAGAAGAAGAGCGGTAGATTCGTTGAAGAAGGAAAGGGGGGGAGGGGTAAAGATTGAAGGGGCAATATTTTAAGTTGGAGTAGGAGAAAACCGAAGCCCGAGAGCGCCCTTAAGAAGAAAACAGGCATTTTAAGTTGGAGCCTATTCCTGAAGACGTCACTTTTGGCCAAAATATTCTTATTGACACACGCCTTCTATTTCCTATTAGAAACATTAATCTATAAAAATTCATACATTTTAAAAAGATTTTGGACTATACTTCAATACTCTGCAAATATATTGGAAATTTTCAAAATCTAAATATTATTAATAACAAAAGTTGCGATAAATTCTTGAATTCTTGAAAAAATATTTTCAAATTTTGCAAAAACCTAAGTGTGTATTCAAGATAAAATTGTGCAAAAAATGTGTAACATATTTTTGCAATACTTGACCAATACTTTTTTAGTTATATCCAAAAACTAAAAATTATTTATATATTCTGAAAAAAAAAACATCAAAATACATATATAATTTCAATCATCTACATTGAAAAAGGACAGATAATGTTACGTTTTCTCCTGAAGTTATTGAATTTATGATTGATCACTCTAACCAAAATTCATAATCTTATTTCATTTTCGATTTTTCGATTTTATAGAAGTTCTTTTAAAGAAGAAAAACAGGTTAAAGTTATCAAATATGATAATCAGTTAGAAGTTTTCCAGGTTCAGTCTCAGAATGTTCTCTGATTTGAAACTTAAACAAGGGGGGCCATAATGTTCCCCTATGTTGCGCCCTCAGATACTAGTGCCATATCATTGTGAAATGTTCATGTATAACATGTTTACAAATACAGAACATCACGATCATAATGAAAGTTTGCAATGTAAACAGAAACTAATCATTGTAAACAAATGTCAATCCATGTTTTTGTTAAAGGGACTGTAAACGTAATTTTAAGTTACCTTCCATTTACAGAGTGGCATGTCTGATTCACAATGTTACCATTTAACGCATTTTTTAATGAAGTATATATGAAACATCCATGTTTATAATTCTGAAAATAAATTGTTTTCAACTTTGGTTTCTCTACACAAGAGAGTTACATATTTGTACTGCAGGACAACTATGGAGAAACTATCAAAATTAAACATTTTCCACAAAATCGATTTAATTTATAGGGTAGGATACAGGGTGGAAAAAAAGTCCGGTCTGTGAAAAAAAATCTAAAACAGCCCATTACTTTTTTGCGACTAAAGCTACAGATCTAAAAACTATAGTTTTATAAAGGCCTTGAAAAATGCACGTAGAAACATGTGCCACACTTTGATACTTGTTTAAAACAAAAAAATGTTCTCATTTTTTTACTCTTTTTTAGGAAATTTTAGGAAAGTTATTGGTCTAATTTGTTTTCCTTTGAGGTGGCCTTGAAATTTGGGCTATGAACATGCATTTCAACCCTATAACTATTCACTAAGACCTTTTTTGTAATGGGGGGGGGGCGCCAAACGTCCCCCCCAAGGCTATTTAGGGTCATTTGATATTATGCCCATAATCCCTTTAATTTTTTTTGTACTAGAGAGTAGAGAAAAGGAAATGTAAAATTTAAAGAATTGACCGCTTTCAAGTTTCACCTCGTTAAACTTCTGTTCGTTCTTATCACTTTTATTATTCTTCTCTTCTTCATAAAAGAATCTTTCTGTTTGCAACAAAATTGATCGTTTTTTCCTTCTACAAAGGAATTTTCAAGATCAAAAAGGTTTAGTTCGTTAGCATTACTTTTCCCAGCCTGCCAAATTGTTTAAAACCAACCCATATCATGAAACGGAGTTTAGAAATACATAACACATAATCCAATATTTCATGGATTTAATGAAATGTCTGTTAATAATTTGAGCATTTTATAATGTTAATTCTTAAGAATTATTGTTAATAATAAAAAAATTAAATTAAAAAACAATTAATGCATGAACAAAAAATATTTGTAAATGTAAGATATTAAAAGTGCAAAAATGATTGATTCATAATAAACTTCCTGTCTGTCTCGATTTTATTCTAAAATACAATAAAACAATAGTATTTTTCAGCACACTCTTTTAGAAAAATGAGTTCCAATTAAAAAACTTAAAAAATGTTAATCAAGAACGTGTACGCTTTGCTAGTTTAAAAATCCCCCTCCCCCCCGGGTCTACCGCTGAAACATTTTAAAGTGGCGTCCATGCTGTAAGCAGACTCATGTTGGTCAAAGCTACTGTAGGATATCTGAGAAAAAGTATTTACTAGGACTTCAGTTAGAAGTTTTCCAGGTTCAGTCTCAGAATGTCTCCCAATACCCCCAGTATTAACCGGGAACTAGAGACGAAGACAAGGGAACCTGCGCAGTATCTTGAGACTACCCTAGATACTAGTCTATGGGTATACAATAGACCAGGAGAATAGTCTGCTCCTTGATATTCAGTGATATTATCAACCAAGAGAAATGGTTAAATACAAGGACTATCCTACCAGGTTATAAAGATTGTTGTAAAGCAGAGTAATCTGGACTTTGAACCCTGTAGTTACTAATTCAACAGTGTTAATCTGTTTACCTATCCTGTTGAAAATACGAATGATTAACTAGAACAATATATTTTATCTCAAGGATAAGATAGTAGCTTCTGACGTCTCTTCGGTGACAGAAGTATAAGGATCTACAATACGGAAGATTAAGAGGTTGTTTCCTGGTGAAATACGTAGATTTCCTGGTTTTACTGGTGAAACACGAAGATTTCCAGGTCTTCCTGGTGGAATTTTGAGAAATTCCAGGTTTACCTGGAGTAATTTGAGAGTTTCTGGACGGTATTCAAGTTACCATGGATCCAGGACCAGGGGAGGACCCGATGCATCTTTATCAGGTTTTTCAGAGTAGTTTCAATAAGATTGCAGTTAACCAGGGTACAGCAGCTCCTAAGGGTTATGATGGTTGGGGGCAGCAAACCCACCAACATCAGCAGCATCTTCAACAAGAGCAGCAGTACTCAGACCTAGAATACAATAAAGGATATATCCAAGGATATGATGGATATTATCTTCAGGATGGATATTATCAAAACCAGATCTCCCAACCTTCTCCTCATCCGTCCTCCGTATCCTCACAGTATACTATGCTCCAGTCTCCTATAGAGGAGGTTTCTAACCCAGTCTGGTCTCCTCCACCCTCCAGCCTCAGCTGTACTCCATCATCACTATCATGTCCCCCATGTCCTCCTTCCACCCTCCCCTGTCCTCCCTCCACCCTCCCATGTCCTCCGACCTCTGTTCCCTGTCCTCCTCTAACTTGTGCTTCGTCCTATGAGCGTGTAAAGCCTGACCCAGACTCTGTATTTACTGGTTTAGATGATGCTCTTAATATTCTTAAATCCCACGCAGAACCCTTCACAGATCCAGGTATAGTTGACCCAGCTTATACTGCTGCTGGCCCACCCCCTCCCCTTCTCCCCCCGCCAAACATGAAACGGAAAATTATGGAAGAATTCTTCCCAATGTCCCCGTATGACAGTGAGCCCTCCTCCCCCCTTCCTCGAGTCAGCTCCTCCTCCACCCAACGAGGGGGGAAACGAAGAAAAAATGCAAACTCGAGTGATGACGATGGAAGCATCGATCCCGAGACGAAAGGCCATCGTGACAAGGATCGGAGATACTCCAACAATGCGCGTGAGCGGATGAGAATTAGAGACATCAACGACGCGCTGAACGAGTTGGGTCGCGTGTGCATGATGCTAAAATCTAACAAGGGGGATAAACCCCAGACAAAGCTTGGTGTTCTCAATATGGCAGTAGATGTTATCAATACTTTAGAATCACAAGTTCGAGAAAGAAATTTAAACCCAACTACAGTTTGTATGAACCGACCCCCTGGGCTCAATCCTCCCACCGGACCTTGAATATAGCTCCTAAACCTAGAACAAAAGTGATTTCAACGCAATCATAGAGATTTCATCGCTGTGAGAAGCAATATTCTCTACATTCAGTTATACAAACTAAAATCCATACTGATCGTGCAATCTATATTTAGCAACTCAATGACAACTTATCCAAGGATTCCGTAAAAGTGTTATTTAAAAGGATATATGCTCAAGAAATGTTTTTAATATGTAAACTAAACTGTTCTAAGCATTTAATTTCTAAGTATTGTTCTAAGAAAATTGAAATTTTTCGATATTTCGCATTCAAATTATTTTGATTTAAGTTATATTTACTAAAATTGCACTAAATCTTTCTTGATTAATCAACGGAACGTGAATACTCTAAATATTGTTAGTGGCCAAATAGTTATTTTGATATATTTTGAATAAATAGTAGAATTAACCTCTGTATGTCATTGCATATTTGAAAACTGAAAGATTAATTACTAGGGATGATAGATTTTTAACTTTTTTTTAGAAATCAGCCCTCTAGGGGTTTGTGTATTAAGAACTAAAAAAATAAAACGATTTAAAAATTTCAAAATGGTGCATACGGTTGCAAACCTACGATTTAAATTTAAAAATTAAATGAACTCTGCCCGAAAACTTGCCAAAAACATTAAACAAATTTTGAACCTGCTTTTAGGCCTGAGCTTATTCTTCTTTTTATCTCTTTTAGATTAATTTTCGAATTTTAATTGAGTCTAAAATTAAATAAAATAATCAGCAAAATTGAAATTTTTGAAATTTTTATTTTTGGCAACTTTTTAGTGATAAAAAATCACTACATTAAACCATGGGATCGCAACCGTAAGGACGAAAATATTTTCAAATCGCATATTTTAGATCTTCAAGCACAAACCCCGGTAGTCGGATAGCTTAGTTTCTATATTGATGATGCCTATTAAGTACGACTTTAAGACACATTTATTCAGTAGAAATATTAGGATTGGAAAGGTAAAAATTAAGATTATAGTTTAATTATAGTCCTGGTGTAAACGTCCCTTATGAACATAGTCTTGGTGTATAATTCCTCTATTAACTATAGTCCTTGTGTAAACGTTCTAAACTGTAGTCCTGGTGTAAACGTCCTTTATAAACATAGTCCAGGCGTAAACGTCTTATATAAACATAGTCCTATGTGTAAACGTCCTTTATAAACATAGTCCTGGTGTAAACGTCCTATATTAACTATAGTTGTGGTTCAAACGTTGTATATTAACTATAGCCCTGGTTTTAACATCGAATATTGACTATAGTCCTTGTGTAAAAATCCTAAATTAACTATAGTCCTGGTATCAACGTCCTTTATAAACATAATCCAGGTGTAAACGTCCTATATAAACATAGTCCTATGTTTAAACGTCCTATATTAATTATAGTCGTGGTTCAAACGTCCTATGCTAACTATAGTCCTGGTTTTAACGTCGAATATTGAATATAGTCCTTGTGTAAAAGTCCTAAATTAACTATAGTCCTGGTATCAACGTCCTTTATAAACATAGTCCTTGTGTAAACGTCCTATATTAACTATGATCTTGGTTTAAACGTCCTATATGAACATAGTCCTGGTGTTAAATTACTCTATTAACTATAGTCCTTGTGTAAAAATCCTAAATTAACTATAGTCCTGGTATCAACGTATCAACGTCCTTTATAAACATATGTCTTGTGTTAACGTCATATATTAACTATAGTTTTGGGCGTAAACGTCCATTTTGAACATAGTCCTGGTCTAAACGTCCTATATTAACTATAGTCCTTGTGTAAACGTCCTAAACTGTAGTCCTGGTGTAGACGTCTTATAAAAACTAGTGTCCTGGTGTAAAGGTACTTTATAAACATAGTCCTGGTGTAAACGTCCTATATAAACATAGTCCTGGTGTAAACGTCCTTTATAAACATAGTCCTGGTGTAATTGTCCTAAATAAACTATAGTCCTGTTTAAACGTCCTATATTACCTACAGTCCTGGTATCAATGTCAAATAAACAAAGTTCTGGTTTAAACGTCCTATAAAAACTATAGTCCTGGTGTAAACGTCCTTTGTTTACTATAGTCCTGGTGTGAACGTACTATATAGCTTTTGTCCTGGTTTAATGGCCCTGTTAGTGTATCCATCCCATATGTTAGATAGCCCTGAGGGATTTATAATTCTATCCTGGTTTTAAAATCTCAATCTGATTTATAATATTCAAAAATTATTTATAAATTTTTATTCTTATTTTTAATCTCTACTTTTTCTTCTGTTCTCCTTGCTCTTCTTTTTATCCTTATTCTCTTTGTTCTCCTTGTTCTTCTTGCTCTCCTTGTTATCTCTGTTCTCCTATTCTTCTCTGTTTTCCTTGTTCACATTGTTCTCTTTTTTATTCTTGTTCTCCTTTTTCCCTTTGTTCTCCAAGTGCCCCTTGTTCTCCTTGATCTCCTTGTTCTCCTTGCTCTCCTTGTTCTTATTATTCTCCTTGTTCTCCTTGTTCTCCTTGTTCTTCTTTTATCCTTGTTCTCTTTGTTTTCCTTGTTCTCCTTGTTCTTCTTGTTCTCCTTGTTCTCTTTGTTCTCCATGTTCTCTCTGTACTCCTTGCTCTCTTTGTCTCATTGTTCTCTCTGTTCTCCTTGTCTCTGTTCTTCTTGTTTTCCTTTTTCTCCTTGTTTTTTTCTGTTCATCTTCTTTTCCTTGTTTTAATTGTTCTCATTGCTTGTTTTCTCTGTTCTCTTGTTCTCCTTGTTTTTTCTGTTCTCCTGTTTCTCCTTGTTCTCCTGGTTCTCCTTGTTCTCCTTTTGCTCCTTGTTCTCCTAGTTCCCCTTGTTCTCCTTGTTCTTCTTGTTCTTCTTGTTCTCCTAGTTCTCCTAGTTCTCCTTGTTCTTTTTGTTTACTTTTTTATCCTTGATTTCCCTGTTCTTCTGGTTTTCCTTGTTATCCTTGTTGTCTATGTTCTCTATGTTCTCTTTGTTCTCCTTGATATCACTGTTCTCCTTTTTTTGTTGTGTGTTATCTGAGAGATACGTACTAAAGAATACAGATAGAGTCGTATCCGGATTGATATGGACTACTGTATTAGCGGGAAACCTTGAGTTCAAGAAGATTGTGCCTATTGGTTTGGCATTGATAGTATACAAACTAGTGTCTGGTTGACATCGATAGCTGACGAGATCATGCCCATTGGTTTGGCATTGATAGTATACAAACTAGTGTCTGGTTGACATCGATAGCTGACGAGATCATGCCCATTGGTTTGGCATTGATAGATTACAAGCTAGTTTCCGGTTGAAATCATTAGCTGACAAGATTGTTTCATTGGTTTGGCATTGATAGTTCACGAGAACGTGTCCGGGTTTTGACATTGATAGTAAAGTAAAACTGAGTTGTACCTGGATAGATACGGGTTTGAGAAACCCTTATGGAGTAGGGCATTTATTACATTTGTTCTGATTTAACTAGTTCCCTAGACATCTCCTCGTTCTCCTGGTTCCACTAATTCCCTAGATATATCCTGGTTTTCCTAGTTCCACTAGTTCCCTGGATATATACTGGTTCTCCTAGTTCCACTAGTTCCCTGGATATATACTGGTTCTCCTAGTTCCACTAGTTCCCTGGATATATACTGGTTCTCCTAGTTCCACTAGTTCCCTGGATATATACTGGTTCTCCTAGTTCCACTAGTTCCCTGGATATATCCTGGTTTTCATAGTTCCACTAGTTCCCTGGAGATATCCTGGTTTTCCTGGTTCCACCAATTCCTTAAATTTATCCTGGTTCTCCTGGTTCCACCAGTTCTGTGGATGATGTTCGGTACTTTCCCACAGGATTTTCCCCAAGTGTCAACTTCCCAATCGTATGTTTCCAAATGTGCAATTTCCCAAGCGGCAACTTCTCAAGTCTGTTCCAGCCGCAGCGCTCGGCCTGCGGCGCCTCAGAGGGCCTAACTTTACCTTTTAGAAGTTGTCACTTGGGAAATTGCATATTTGGGAAGTTGCCACTTGGGAAATTGTCACTTGGGAAGTCGCCCTTGGGAAAATGCCTTTGTGAAAGTATTTAACACCCCCTGGATATATCCTGGTTTTCATAGTTTCACTAATTACCAATATATCCTTAATTCTTCAGTTTCCGGTTTCGCTTTAATTATTTAATATTCTCTTGGTTTGCCTGGCTACTTTGTATATCCAAGTGTAATTGAGATTTTTATTATGGGTTCATGCTAATAGCTAGTTTAACAGATTGATATTTTACAATTACAATTATGGTTAAATTGTAAAATTGTAAACACGTGATATAATTATGGTGTCACTCTCAACAGTTTCTTTTATTTCCAACTCATATAAATACCATTAAACAACTTGGAGAGAGTTTATCCTAATTTTAGGCAATTCAAATATAAAACTTAACATTCCGACTGGGGTTCACAAGATGTGTTGGTCAACCGAGGGAGGGAACCCAAGGACGCCATGAGCCTCTGCTATGCAGACACAAGCCTCCCAGGTTGATTTTCTTAAATTTGTGTTTTAAGTTTAAATAAAAGATTTTTTTTACAAATTTTTCGACATAGTGGCATGAGAGGTTTCTTAAAGATGAGAAGTATTTATCAATTATCATAAATAGTGCCTAATTCTAACTAACAAAGTGGTATATAAAACTATAAACATTTTTTACTCGAAAAGAAAAATATTTAGAGAAAAAAAATTTGAGTTGAATTTCATTTCATCTTGTATAATCTTTGATTTAAGCCATACCTTTTTTTGGAAAATTGTATTTCGAATTAAATCTAGAACATTTGTATCATTTATTTAATTCTTAAAATTTTTCAAATAAAGGTATTGTTTAAATCAAAGATTACAACTCCTTGTTTTGTTGTGTATCATCTGAGTGATATATAATAAAGAATACAGATAGAGTTGTATCCGGATTGATATTGACTACTGTATTATCGCGGAATCTTGAGTTCAAGAAGATTGTGCGCATTGGTTTGGCATTGATAGTTAACA